GTTTGTTAAGCTCATTGATGTTGGTGGGATCGGCAGTCCTGTGATAGACGTTTGCAATGCGTATCTCTTTGCTATTTGCCATACTGACCGAGATGACCTGGGTTTCAAGGCTCCCCACCTCTGCTTTGATCTCAGTGGAGGTACAATCGTCGACGACAAAAGTAACCAGTCCACCCCAAGCTCGCCCCACTCTGTCTTTGCGGTATTGCTTGTAGCCAGGTAACCGAAAGTTTGCTCTCTTCCCCAGTTTCGCTTCTTGAATTAGTATAACGTGGGGGTTCAGTACCTGTTGTTTGACTAGGGCTATGAGTTCTTGGCCATGCATTATTTCTAAGCTCATGATAACAGTTGTGTCCTTATATTTGGTAGCTTAAAAGTTTATTTAAGCTTGTGTATCTGCTGTTTGAAGAAGGTAGCAGATTGCCCGTAGGACAGGATGCTGGTAGCCAACTCCCACAGGGTGATGAGTTTGGACCCCACATCACTGTCCTTATGTGTGCCTAGTTTGAGTAAGGCCGCACACATGAATTCAACCAGCTTGTCTGGGATTGTCTGGTTGTGGGCATTGGTGTTACTGTCATGGCTTATTTCAGCATGCCTTTAGTCTGTACCCATTACATTGGTGGTTTCAACATTGCCAGTGTTGTTTGCCACCTTTTTTGGACTTTTTTGCCCCTTTTGCCTTTACGCCTTTTGCGTTTGTTCAGGTCGGCACCCTTGCCCTTAGGGTTGCCGGCGCTGGTTGCCTCGGCGTTTCTTCAGGTCGGCACCCTTGCCCTTAGGGTTGCCGGCGCTGGTTGCCTCGGCGTTTGTTCAGGTCGGCACCCTTGCCCTTAGGGTTGCCGGCTCTGGTTGCCTCGGCATTTGTTCAGGTCGGCACCCTTGCCCTTAGGGTTGCCGGCGCTGGTTGCCTCAGCGTTTGTTGGTGCCTGTGGTTCGGCATTGACCTTGCCCTTGGTCGTTGCCTGTTCACGGGCATTAACAGTTTTTTGTGTCTTTGTCTGCTGGCCTAGAGTCTCCGTGTTTAGACTCTGTTTCTTATGCTGCCTGCTCCTGCAGAAGTTAGATAGGGCCGAGTGTCCCTTAACTTTGCAGTTGGTGCAAAATAGTGAGCATTTGCCGTTGCATATTTTGGCTGGCCTGGAGCATGTTCGGCATTTTGCCTCGCTGAGGCAGTTTGCCTTGACATGTCCGTAATTGAGACAGTTGACACACTGTTTTGGTCGCCTGAGGTAGATTGTGAGTATCACTACTCTGGTGTTTTTGCCTTGACTTTTAATCCTATACATGTCAGTAATAGCAGGATTGCGTTGTTGCTGGGCAGTGAGCCTTTCATCACTGATCCCCTTATCAAGATGCCCCGCGCATTTTGTGTGTGACACCCAGCCTGGCACTTTCCATACTACCGTCTGCCCTAGGACTTTAGTGGGGAGTTTTGTGCATTGATATATGTTGTCACCTCTGACTACATATCCCCGATTCGCTTTGTGCACTCTGGTTATAGAGATGGACTTGGCTAGCTCCTCCCTTAAAGCCTGGGCCGAGACCCTGCTGGAGAGGGTGAGGTTATAGTCTATACAATAGACTAGCCTCTCCCACGCCTGCTGCTTCTTGGGTGGGGCGGCCTTAGCCGTAGCTTTGGCTTGTTTCGCCTTATCCTTGGACTGCTTGGAGTTCCTAGTCCAAAGCTCTTTAATTATTTCTCGGTCAGACTGACTGATTTCAGTGAAGCTTTTCTCCCCTGTTGGCAGTGACATGGCCGCTTCCACGTAGGAGTCAGCGCTTGGACTTGTCATTGCGAGTTTGATTTTTTGGGGGTTGTTTGCCTCTGGACTGAAATAATGTTTGTTCTTCCCTCTACGGAGCTGGGCATGTTCTCGGTATTCAGGCATTTTCATGCCATCAGAGCTCTCTATATTGGGGCTGGGCATTCCCCTTTCATTATTTTGAGGGCTAGGCATTCCCTCTTCGGACTCAGAGTCAATTTCGATATTGTCAGATACTGGGGTTGGCAGCCCCGTATCTATTCCAACCCTACCGGCGGCTGGTGTGGAAGTAGGCAAGGCTACTTCCTTGCTGATTGCTGTAAGGCCCTGAGAGTTGGACAGACTCTCAGGCTCGGTCTCCCTGATGACAGGGTCCTGGCTAGGGGGCGGCATTCCCACATTGTTGCCAGTTGCCTTCTCACCTCTCTTCTTTTTTTTTCAGCCCCCGGATGGGTTTGGTTGGATGTAGGCACGGCTACATTCCTTGCTTTGTGGGGAATAGACACGGCTATTCCCTTTTTCATGCACTGGGGAACAGGCACGGCTGCTCCCCTTACCTTCTCCTTGTGGGTTGTAGTCACGGCTACCTCCCTGTTTCCTTCTTGGGGATTGGACACGGCCGCTCAAACAAAGAACACAGCAAGCAAACAATATCCGTTTCATGTGCATCCATTGAAGTGGTTAAGGCAACAGGAAGAGTTTCATCATTAAATATCATGAAACAACTATGTATAGAAACGTTATCACTGTCCTCAGGAAAAATGTGAATCATGCATGCCGTTATACACATTCTCTGATTACACACACACTTATTGTGACACACCCTGCATAGTTTCACTGAGTTGTAGGGGCGGTGGGGTAGCCTAGTGGTAAAGGCGTTCTCTCGTCACGCCGATGGCCCTGGGGTTCGATTCCCCGAATGGGTACAATGTATGAAACCCATTTCTGGTGTCCCTCGCCGTGATATTGCAGGAATATTGCTAAAGCCGGCGTAGAACTATACTTATTCACTCAGTTGTACACATGGTGCAGCCTGTTTATAACCCACGACATTAGCGTCACAATTGCAAGAATAATCATTAGTATTTCCATATAAGAAGACGGCACGTGTATATCTAGAACACGTGCGTGAGTATAGTTTTACGCCGCTTTACCAATACGCAGCAATAACACGGTAGGGGCCACTTGAACTTGGCTCTACATTTCACTCATGTGGGGAGTCGAACCCGGGTCTTCGGTGTGACGAGCGAACGCTTAAACCACTAGACTACCCAATGGCCTGGAATAATTAAGGCTGCATGTTAGTGGTGAGTGAGTGAGTGGGATGGGTTTTACGTCGCTTTTAGCAATATTCCAGCAATATCACGGCGGGGGACACCAGAAATGGGTTTCACACATTGTACCCATGTGGGGAATCGAACCCGGGTCTTCGGCGTGACGAGCGAACGATTTAACCACTAGGCTACCCCACCGCCCCTTTAGTGGTAAGTGTCTGTCTGGCATGAGGACACATGATTAGAATGCGGCTGCCAATGATTTGACTTAAATAAATATTTCTTTACAGAAGTGAGTATATGAATGTTTCTATACGCCGCAGTTAGCATTGTACAGTCATTATATGTCGGTATGACGCGATTTGTTGGCGTATTAGAATTCGACGCTGCACCCAATACAACATATAGGCGTGACAGCCAAAGGGACGACTGGAAGTTTGGCACGTGTAGGGTATGAAACTGCGCGAACAATACTCAGAGTTTTTCCTGAAATGCATCAGCAATATATAACGCGGTTACATATCGCGTATTTCTTTATTGTCGCCAATAACAAAATATAAAGCATAGCATAACAAAACATTCGGTTTTGATACGATTATAGGAAAATCAGACACTTGTTTACCAAGCTGTATCAATCAATAACATTTGATTACATCAGCCGGTTTACAAACGTTGATCACACGGGTTTAAAGAACTTTGAATTTTTGTCTTTGTCGTTTAACGCCGCAATGTTCCAGCTTTATGGCAGCGGTCTGGACCAGACAATCCACTGATCAACAGTATGAACATTGATCTACGCAATTGGGATACGATGACATGTATCAACTAAGTCGGCGAGTCAGACCACCCGATCCCGTAAGTCGCCTTTTACGACAAGCATGGGTTGCATTAGACCAAATCTAACCCGGATCTTAACGGGTTACATGTTACAAGAAAACCCCGCTGACATGAAGACACTTAACCCGTAGTTCGAGATAAGCGAGGGGTTGTCGACATAATGCGTACCATATTCGTAAAGGAGATGCCGATGTGAAGGAGTTCGAGGCAAGTTGTGTAAAGCCGGGTTTCCATGTGCGCGCAGTGCGTAATGCGTAGTGCGTAATGCGTTTACAACGCTTTATACTAAAATAGAAATAGCGGTTTCCATGCACGCATAAAACGTGATGCGTGATACGTAGTGCGTATAGTGCGTGAATTTGCTTACGCTCAAAAAGTGTCCGAATACGCATCACGCAGCTATACGGAGGCCGGAAGTAGGGATTCCCAAGGGGTTTCCAATGTCACGTGTTTTTCATTGTGCACACAAGTTGCAAAATGCCAAGGAATTCGGTACCCAGGATACTGAACAATTAATTGAACCCTCCTTCTTTGTATCAGGAGTTAACGCACCCACCACAGGGGCCTTCGTTTTTTTCACATAACAGTACAATAAACCTGCACTAATCACATCCTCTGTTATGTCTGTTAGTTCTCTAGCGTTCTTAGAGAAACAATGTGGCATTGTAGACAGCAATTGTGATCAAAACTTGATTTAACGCATCACATAGCCTTTATACAGGTACACATGGAATTGGACACTACCACGTAATACGCACTAAGCACTACGCACCACGCAATTAAGCAGACAATACGTACACATGGAAACCGAGCTTGAGCCGCCGAAACTCGATGTGCATAGTTACGTCCCTTGAGTGTGCCGGGATATAATTGTGGGTTCGCATCTTGATTTGCCAGTGGGTTTCACCAAAACGTCTTAGATCAGTACACGCCGTGATTTAATTATAAAAACATCCTTATACCCAACTAACTCTCTCACTCAAGTTAATTTGGTTACACTGTGTTCGTAAAATACGTACTTAAATAGACTTATGCACATTAATTAACCAAACAGGCAATGGGAGTTTTTCATTTATTCTTATAACATGTGTAAAAGTACAACTTTATGATTCTGAACTTGCAGGTGGCAGATGACAAGTCCAAATTGCAGAAAACATGGAACAAAATGAAAAACCTAGGAAGAAAGATGAAAACAGCTGTTGGAGATGATGTCGTTCACAAGGATGAAGCCGCGGGCGATGACGACGACTCCGACGGCCCAGACTACGACTACATCGACGACGATACCCGACGCGAATACATAAAAGAGATTGAGAAACCAAACAGAGCGAAAGAACAAACGAAACTTAAAGGCGTTTTTTCTGCAAGCGCCAAGCCTGTTCAGCGAGTGCTCCCAAGTGCGCGCAAAGATCCAGCACCGGATGAGGAAGCCAAAGACTTTAAGAGCCTCAGCATCAGTGAACTAGAGTGTCTCTTACAAACGTGTGGGATGCAGGACCTAGCTAAGGTCTGCAGGCAAGAGAACTTGGATGGTTGTCTTCTCTGTTCCTTTTCGGATAAACTTCTAAAAGCAAAGCCTTTCAAACTGGACAACTACCGCTTACAAAAACTGAATTCGATTAAGAGCGGATGGAGACCAAAGACGTAGACATAACCAGTCATTATATTATATGAACGTCACTGTCAATGACCCGCGGATTCAGGATCAACTGTACACTTTCTTTTGCCATGCAGTTTAGATCGTTTTTACCATATTTTCTGACATTAAGTACCATGTGCTTATTGTGCTGTCATATTTTTGTTATTTTCATTATTTTGGTTCGTTAACGAAACAGAGCTATTGTGTTTTTTTCTAATTTGATATACTACGTTCGTATCTCCTTTAAAGCTGTCGGAATATGTATACATAATTATAGAAGTTTTTACCCAAAAAAATGTTCCAACTTGATGTTAAGTTGTGAGGATATATTTTGTGTCATGCGAGAATTAAGTGATAGCTTATGCATATTGTTTGCAACAAAATTGTATTTATGTGTCTTTTTAGCGAAAGATAGTATAGTGATAATTGTGTTGTATATTTGATTACAACAGGTAATGCAATGTCTGTTAAACAGGTATATTTTGTGAACAAATTCCGATACAGTAAGCTACAAAACCAAACATGATTACAATTTTCATAACAAAATGTTTCGAATCATGAAATAGTCAAACGGCAATTCGACGACGACTTTTATGTGTATGAGGGTTGCCGAAGTGTGATAACCGACTTATAGTGATATGTTAACGCACAATTAAAGCAATAACGCAGCTTCTCGTTGTCATGTGAAATAAAATAGATGACTAAAATATATCGACAAGACTGTTAGATTTCCACAATGCAATACAAGAAAGAAATGTCCAGATCATCCATCTTCGTAACTCAAGGTTGTTTTATCTCGTCTATACAGTGGGTCTACTTATGATCCTATCATCAGTCTTCCTACCTCTAGGGCGTTTTTATCTCGTAGAGATAGAGGGTATATTAGTGGTCGTATCATCCATCTTCGTATGTCTAGGGCGTTTTATGTCGTCAGTTTAGAGGGTCCGCTTTTGACCTGATGATCCATCTTCGTAACTCAAGTGTGTTTTATCTCGAAAAAAAAGAGGGTCCATTATTGACCTTATCAACCATCTTCATAACTCAAAGGTGTTTTATCTCGACAATATAGAGGGTGTACTTGGGACCCGATGGTTCATCTTCATGTCTCAAGGGTGCTTTATCTTGTGAAAGTAGGGGGTCTACTAGTGGCCGTATCATCTATCTTCGTAACTCTATGACGTTTTATCTCGACTATCCTAGGTTTACTTAAGATTCCGTCATCCATCTTCATAACTGTAGGGTGTTTTATCTTGTCAGTAAAGAGGGTGTACTTATGATCTGATGATCTATCTTTGTTACACTGAGATGTTTTATCTCGTTGTTACGGCCGGAACAGTTCCTGCGACCTGTGATGGAGGATGAGTGAGTTTTGTTTTATTTCGCACTCAGCAATATTCCCGCCTTATGGCGGTGATGGAGGGTGTGTGTCTGGGAGTGATATGCTTGTTTAGAGTAGTGTATGAGAACACTTCTTGTCAGAGTTGAAACTTGTCAGCATGTATTTCCTAGTTTCAGTCTCACAGGGTGTCTCAATTCCTTTTGTTCTAATTCATCGATATTTACTATTTTTCATCTGATATTGATAAAGTTATGCAATATGCAGTATAATATAATCTATTTCAGCATGTGACAATATTTCGAAAAATATTTTACAATACTATAATTTAAACATAACTCTAACCGCTGAAAAAATAAACTATATATTTGTATGGTGACAAAACGTTCACACAATCAAAAAATTGTTTTTTGATGGTAATGTACTTGATATGGGAATCCATTTAAAGACTCTACGTTTACATTGTCCCAACGCCAGCAATCTTTTGATACTGTTTGTAATTCATTTTTCATTACAGTTATCAAGTTTCCTCTTTTTTTTGGTTTTCTTTTCTTTCTTTTTTGTGTGTGTGTGTGTGTGTGTGTGTGTGTGTGTGTGTGTGTGTGTGTGTGTGTGTGTGTTATTATAAGATGTTTTGTGGGTGATATCTTCGACGTGATATGTCATGGAGAGTCATTGTTCATACTAAGACTTAGTATACGTGGAAACTATACTTATCCATCCACGTTTTGTATCTGTGTATTTTGGTCCTGATAAAACTTGTCCAAAAAGTTTTGTAATAGGTTTTGGCCACCGAATTGATTCATAGTTATTTTTCTGTCAAAATGATATATTTATGTCATTATTGTTTCTGACAATCGTAAATGCATTGTTTATGACTATTATAATTCCATTATTGTTGCTGGCTATCATAAGTCCTTTATTTCAGATAATTATATATGCATCACTGTTACTTACAATTGTAAATGCATTGTGTTTTATCTTACAAGCAAAATGCATTGCCTTTACTGTGCATGTAAAAATAATTCATTTTCAAATGACTGGTGCATAATTTGCTCTAATTTTATACAGCAACGACGTCTTACTTTGAATACTCGGAATTGGTAAGACATGGTTGTGAAATAACGCACACACTGGCTTCTGTGATCACTTCAACATTTTAGTGTACCCAAGCGCTAATATATGTAACTGTATCTTCTTGTAGGAATAGACCCTTATAACCTTTGTATACAATGATATGTTAATATGAAGATGGGCTAAAGCAAGTAAAGAAACACTGTTGACAGCTAAAAAAGAAATCCAGTTTCATTAAAACCAGATCACTCACTTCGGTGCGATAACTCCGAGGACAATTCATCGCAAGGTCGCGTCTGAAGAACCTTCGAACCAGCTAGTCCCATCCTCGGTAATCTCCAGGGTATACGTTACGATCACTCTCCACTATAGTGGACTATAAAACCAGGGTGTACGTTACGATCTCTCTCAACTATAGTGGACTATAAAACCAGGGTATACGTTACGATCACTCTCAACTATAGTGGACTATAAAACCAGGGTATACGTTACGATCCCTCTCAACTATAGTGGACTATAAAACCAGGGTGTACGTAACGATCACTCTCAACTATAGTGGACTATAAAACCAGGGTATACGTTACGATCACTCTCAACTATAGTGGACTATAAAACCAGGGTGTACGTTACGATCCCTCTCAACTATAGTGGACTATAAAACCAGGGCATACGTTACGATCACTCTAGTGGAGAGTGATCGTAACGTATACCCTGGAGATTATCGAGGATGGCTATTCCAGGCTTCTAAATTGTCCATACGAATGAGCGAAACATTCGGAAAAGATTGTCTGATTTCAGTATCTCGAAAACGCACTAAACGACTCGTTCCGAATGTAGATTCCGTAGGTTCCGAATAAGGTCGCGCAACATTATATTGCTGTGGACGTTTTCTGCATCTGTTTGTTTCTGACATCTACACCCAAAAAGGGCGTGTCATGAAAGGAATAATTATGTTCAGTTTCTGCCGGAATAACACGAGTGGGTCACGAATGGTGGTTCACCTGACTATAGTTTGGCATGAAATGCATGTGGACCCGTTTTTTTGTAAATATCTCTTCATCCAATGACCCAATCGATCTCAAACTGTGCAAGTGGATGTTTTGTCAGACAAACTAATCACATTGTAAATCACCGATTTTATGCATTTGTATTAAAGAATCTGTCTATGTAACTGTCAACAAAATAAACAGCAGACCGCAGACTGCTTGCAGAGGGAGGGAGCCAATGACCTGTAACAGCGGCAGTGTTGGGTCATAAAGGTAAATGCACGTGCAGTTCATGATAGTTACCCGTGCACTGCACAGTGATAGACCGTTTGGATCATTCACATTGACTACTTCTAGCTGTCATCATGAAAGCTTATTCAGATGATGCTAAACGTTTAATTAGAAATGTGTTGAATTTTTTTTTAAAAGAGAGCAAACGTAGAAAACCGATTTATAAGGTGTCGGATTACATGAAACGTACAACTTTTGCTCTTGGCATGAAAAAGAACATCGTGCTAAAAATTGTGAAAAATAAACCAACAACCAATAAACAAAACCTTGTACAAAAAAGTAGGCATCCACAGTTAGATTCTGTTGACATCATGGTCATCAGAGATGTCATTCGCCGGCTATTTGCTAGAAATGAACACCTCTTCATACCTGTCACGTGCATAGCTGACCTACATTGACGAACGTTGACCTTTATGACCCAACACTGCCGCTGTTACAGGTTATTGTCTCCCTCCCTCTGCAAGCAGTTTGCGTTCTGCTGTTTATTTTGTTGACAGTTACATAGACAGATTCTTTAATACAAATGCATAAAATCGGTGATTTACAATGTGATTAGGTTGTCTGACAAAACATCCACTTGCACAGTTTGAGATCGATTGGGTCATTGGATGAAGAGATATTTACAAAAAAAAACGGGTCCACATGCATTTCATGCCAAACTATAGACCCATATGGAGATGTCAGATTGTCCGACAGTGCGGTTGTCTTAGCTCAGTTTATTGCAACTATACCAAATTCCAGAGTCGCATCAGAAGCAACAATTTTCATTTAATCATCGAACCCTTGACCCAGGTGGTCTCTCCTGCATAGAGCAAGTAATCATCAACCCAGATGAACAATGAGAGTTTCACGTTAATTTGTCGATGTCTCAAGCTGGACATGTTATCCAACTGTCTGTCCCTACTGTGATACAGGTGTTTAGCAGGGAGGACATAACCAAAGCAGCTTTGTACACACTGTTTCCATATACAATAAACAACGCTTATAATAAACATGCTTATAACGCACTGGGTGAGTATTTTGTGCCGGTAGCTGGCTGTACAATGCCGACCGGTAATTCCGCGCACCTAAGCACATCGATCGCAACACGGCAACTAACGTCTCTTATTTTTTGTGGTTTACGTGACTAAACATGCTGGTATGCATCATATTTACCTAGAAATATAAGTTTTATTGACGACTATAAGATTCTAACGTTGCATTATGCCATACGGTTCACCTTACCAGCGTTCTGACGACATCGCTTGCTGTCCGGTAATTCTGCGCAGCAACTGATGCGCATAACATCCAGCTGGAGATCCGAAGTATGGAAGCGTATTAGGGCCAGATTATTTTAAAAAATCACTTCATCAATGTAAGGAAGAGTGTTTCATATTAAATCCAATAATGAATAATGAAGAAAAAGGTTTTAAAGTCCGATGAAAACGAATTTTCATAAAACTGTCAATTTATCTGTCAGTTACTGTTATTTACTTACCTTTAGTGATTAAAAGCCAGTCCCTTGTAGAAATGTCCCGATTTCAAACGTAAATGTGGTACCAGACGATGTTTACCTCGATACGGAAGTACGCTATTGCAGCTGCGCAGAATTACCGGACGCGCGGAATTACTGGACTCGCTTGTATATAATACATGTAATATTGATGCTTATAACGAACTGCGGTCATAACGAATTGACGCGGTGGTCGTTTTGTGTTCGTTATAACCGTAGGTTATTGTACGCATTAGGAATGAGTGAGTGGGTTCAATTGTACGCCGCTTTTAACAATATTCCAGCTATATCACGGCGGGGGACACCAGAAATGGGCTTCACACATTGTACCCATGTGGGGAATCAATCTCGGGTCTTCGGCTTGATGAGGGAACGCTTTAACCACTAGGCTATCCGACCGCCCGTACGCATTAGGAGTCTCTCGGGCAAAGGTGCCAAGAACAGATATAGACATATGAGTATGATAGCAGGTCTATCCACATTTACATGAATTCTAGTATCCGGTATATCCTATCCAGCTCCAGGGCCAGCCACGAGGCACCACAGGAATGATTGTAGGAGCGACAGTATGAAGGACCATGTTTAAATAATCATAATGACCTCCCACCTTTGACCTTGCATGAGGAACTCTTTGATGAAGAGCTTTTTTGAAGAGGTCAGTCTTTGCAAGGTCTAACAGCTAAGACATTTTGAGGGAAGCCTATGTTGTTCCAAGAAACTTACACCATGTTTCCAGTAAAGAGAAGAATTATGTGATAAGAAGTCTATTTCTTATAACTCAATCCAACGGGACTTCAACAAAGTTGTGCAGCACATTGGTCTATAGTATTATAGTTGAATGGAGATATAATTATCTTCATAATCGAGGATGTTGCTCAAAGATTGTTCATACAAAGTTGCCCATATGGGTGTCAGTGCTTAAACTCAAGACGCCTGACGTCCAACCACGTGATATGGGAGGTAATCCAACTTTGTACCCTGAAGTTCGGCTGTACCCTAAAAGCTTCAGATTATTCAAATTTCATTTAGTCAATTTGAGTCATGTTTAGTTATCATTTCCTCACATTTCCAAATATATAGAGATTCATTGTGTATGTGATAACATGACACCAAAATAATCAATCGTATTTTCTTGCTGTTAATGCTTTAATAAGAGCTAAAATGCAGGGGCTTGTAGTAAATGTTCCTTTCTTTCAAAAGGCAGCAAAGATGAATAAATCTATTTTGAGTTATTGTGTACTTGTTTTCTATTTTAGTCAATTATTCTGCCAATTATCCTCTGATGAAAAGAATGAGGGAATAGGGTTTACAGTCAGTGGTCGATATCATGACTCTCAACCCGCGCCATCAGCACTTTGTCATAGACTCTTATACTACAGAATAATGCCGATGTGACGTAAAACTCAACTCAACTTATACTACAGGGATCGGTAAATGAGGGAGTTGTTTTGGAATAACGCTTCCTGAAACAGTATTCCAGTCACGGTGTGTCAGTTTCATGTGACCAATATGGGTATAGTGTGAGTATGCCCAGTTCTGGGGTTCCTTGATGGATTCTTCCACTCATAAAGCAGTCAGGCGTAAAGAAGTCAGGTTGTGAGTTCAACTCCATGCACTTTTTTGACACCGTAACACAAGGATCTCCTTGAGCCTCTGTCATCACAACACAAGGACCTCCTTGAGCCTCTGCCATCACAACACAAGGATCTCCTTGAGCCTCTGCCATCACAACACAAGGATCTCCTTGAGCCTCTGCCATCACAACACAAGGATCTCCTTGAGCCTCTGTCATCACAACACGAGGATCTCCTTGAGCCTCTGTCATCACAACACGAGGATCTCCTTGAGCCTCTGTCATCACAACACAAGGATCTCCTTGAGCCTCTGTCATCATAACACAAGGATCTCCTTGAGCCTGTCATCACAACACGAGGATCTCCTTGAGCCTCTGTCATCATAACACAAGGATCTCCTTGAGCCTCTGTCATCAAAAAACAAGGATCTCCTTGAGCCTCTGTCATCACAACACGAGGATCTCCTTGAGCCTCTGTCATCACAACACGAGGATCTCCTTGAGCCTCTATCATCACAAGGATCTCCTTGAGCCTCTGTTATCACAACACAAGGATCTCCTTGAGCCTCTGTCATCACAACACGAGGATCTCCTTGAGCCTCTATCATCACAAGGATCTCCTTGAGCCTCTGTTATCACAACACAAGGATCTCCTTGAGTCTCTGTCATCACAACACAAGGATCTCCTTGAGTCTCTGTCATCACAACACAAGGATCTCCTTGAGTCTCTGTCATCACAAGGATCTCCTTGAACACAAGGATCTCCTTGAGTCTCTGTCATCACAACACAAGGATCTCCTTGAGTCTCTGTCATCACTACACGAGGATCTCCTTGAGCCTCTGTCATCACAACACAAGGATCTCCTTGAGTCTCTGTCATCACAACACAAGGATCTCCTTGAGTCTCTGTCATCACAACACAAGGATCTCCTTGAGTCTCTGTCATCACAACACAAGGATCTCCTTGAGTCTCTGTTATCACAACACAAGGATCTCCTTGAGTCTCTGTCATCACAACACAAGGATCTCCTTGAGTCTCTGTCATCACAACACAAGGATCTCCTTGAGTCTCTGTCATCACAACACAAGGATCTCCTTGAGTCTCTGTCATCACAACACAAGGATCTCCTTGAGTCTCTGTCATCACAACACAAGGATCTCCTTGAGTCTCTGTCATCACTACACGAGGATCTCCTTGAGCCTCTGTCATCACAACACAAGGATCTCCTTGAGTCTCTGTCATCACAACACAAGGATCTCCTTGAGTCTCTGTCATCACTACACGAGGATCTTCCTCAGTTAATGTGAGTCCCTGTTGCCATAAAACAAACAACACAACAAAGGTGTATGAAATAAACATGTATATACATTAATCAACAATAGACTCCACCATCCCATCTTGTGGATGAGGTTCAGTCCTAGTCTCCTCTCCATCTTCCTAAACTCATCCACAGCACGAACTATACTACAACACCATTCAACAAACTAATTCACACATCAGTCTAATGCTATTTCTCCGTGATTACAGTAATACATGGAATGTCAAAACTCTTCACATGTTCCAGTGTCATTAAAAATCACAATGTGCCATAAAATGTCTTTCATCAAAAACAGCATCTTTTTATTAATTATAACTACTGGAGAACAATTATGATATACGTATGTACATCATTCCAAAATTAGCTGCCATAAAAATGCATCAGTTGTGGTACAAATACAGAGAAATGGGGTATATCAAACCTCGGGCGCTCTTACTGATGGTAGCGCTACCATGATTATCAATCCATCTGTCTGTGGTCGGAAACAGGAAAACATTAAATTTCTAAAATGTCCTAAATAGCAAAAGATATGAATACCATGTTTAGCTTTTAGTTCTGCTGCAGAAACCCTCTCTGTGTTTCAGCTAAATTTAACTTGTTTCCATGGAAACAGGAAAACAAATAAAATGAAAAACATCCACAAATAGGTAAAGGCACAACTTCAGGATATGTTTGATATATTAACAAATGATAGTTGAAAAATACTGAACAGTTTTCGAATTGCGCTCAGCAAATGAAACTATTTAGGATGGACAGAGAAACGAATAATAGGGTAGCATCTATACCTGACACTACAAAACAGATATAATTTGAGTTGCTTAAAACTAAGTCCACATTGTTTCTATCAAAATGTACAAAACAGAATTTAGAAAAGTTTCAAAAATGCAAAAGGTACCAGTTAATGTGAATAGCAATAGATATACCAAGTCTGTTGAAATATGTTGAACAAAATTAACTCTACCTTTGTTCGAAACTAATTCAACATTTATTCCATGGAAACATAAAAAATGAATTTTGAAATTTCAAAATAGCAAAGGCACAAGTTAGGCTAATGAGCAATGCATATGCCAAGTTTCATGTAAAAACATGTAAAAAAATTTAAGTTATGGCTTGGAATAGAATGGGAATGCCATTGCAGTCTCTAAGACCAACAGCAAGCAAGCCAATCACAATAGGTCTCCGTAGCTTTGGGGAAAAGACATAATAACAACTTATTTTCCACAGACAGCCAGGATCAACTGGGACAATAATCTCTGCTGAGACAGGGTATCACTCTGTGGCATCCTCATTAATAAAACATGATGAATCAAGGATAACAGTATTGGTTTAAAAAATAAAATCTCCAGAGCAGTCATATAAAAGGTTTGAACACACAGCTCATTCATGTACACTATCACAGTTTCCATAGTTACGAGGTCACAGCCTCACTCAGAATTTGGGCAATAGCTATCACAACCGTGGTATCCATGCCAACAGCGACCATTAGGAACATATGGTGATCATTGGTGTCTAAATTTATGAATTACAAGAACTAGAATTCGGTCGTAAACCTGTCGGAACAGTTTTCATGGCAAAATTATTTTGTGTATTTACTTTGATCACCAAATTCCCGACAGTCTGTCAAACTTTCCATCATGAGCTGGAACAATTAGTATTTGGCAGTAAATGTAACATTGCTTGTTGTGACAGCAATACCTGGTCTAAGTAAGTAAAAACGTTCGTTGTAAGGGACTGTTCATAATGAATTGCTAGGGTGGTGATGATTTTTTGATTTTTTGATTTTATTTTATTTATTTACTTATTTATTGTTGTTGGTTTTTTGGGGACCCATTTTGTTCTAAGGAGCTGGGGGTCCCCGGCAATTTTGTATACACTTACTAGGGGGATCAGCAATTTTGTACATAAAAATAGGTTTACAATTATGCTTAGAAATTATGGGAAGGGGAGGTGGTTCATTGATTTTGTACATGACATGCAGGGGGGTCACCTAAATTTTGGGGGAGGTCATTCACATTGTACATGCTTCTCCATAAAAATCCTCATCCCCCCAGCCATAAATTATGAATAATCCCTAATACATTTTGCTGAATTTCACTAAACATTATTGGCAGAATCGGGCAATGCATGATTCAGCACTAATGGTACTGATTAGCAACTCTGCCCTCTTTACTGAATTCAGCATCGCTACTGGACGAAGAGCCAGTCCTCAACGTAAAACAGTCTGGTAAAATATACATCTTCCAGCAGAGGGTACATGACTAGATGACACCTGCATCATAATGTAGAAGGACGGGGAGCCTTCTTTGTCACCAGTCTCAGGTCCTGCCCGGCCTTCATAGCTATCTTTCTATCATCTGCGTACTGTTGCAGTATCTCATGTCGATGTCGGGGATCGTCTGCGGGTAACGGCTTACAGTTGCAGCTTGCACGCAGCTTTATTGCCTACACAGAAAATGAATTATCAGAGCATGTGACAGAGAAAATGCATCATTAGAACACATGACAGATAAAATGCATTATCAGAGCATATGACAGATAAAATGCATTATCAGAGCATATGACACTGAAAAGACATTATTGGAGCATATGGTAAAGAAAATGCATTATCAGAGCATGTGACAGATAAAATGCATCATTAGAACACATGACAGATAAAATGCATTATCAGAGCATATGACAGATAAAATGCATTATCAGAGCATATGACACTGAAAAGACATTATTGGAGCATATGGTAAAAAAATGCATTTTCAGAGCATGTGACAGAGAAAATGCATCATTAGAGCATATGACACAGAAAAGGCATTATTGGAGCATATGGTAAAGAAAAGGCATTATTGGAGCATGGTAAAGCATGTGACAGAGAAAATGCATCATTAGAGCATATGACACAGAAAAGGCATTATTGGAGCATATGGTAAAGAAAATGCATTATCAGAGCATGTGACAGAGAAAATGCATCATTAGAGCATATGACACAGAAAAGGCACCATTAAAACATAAGACAGAGAACCCACATCATTAGAGCATATGACCAGTGTTGATTCCCATCAGCTGAACTCTGATTTACTCCTTACACACCACAGGCCCTATTAATGTCAAGCAAGCTGCTGACCTGAGGACAGTGAGAGGCCATCTTGATCGGAGGCTTGTGGCTTCTGTTTAATGATGGCACAGTATACATTTGCAGGAAACAGTCAATATTATCAAAAACATATCCCAGTATTAAAAACCAGGCATCTAACAAGACCCCAGCTTCCTTATTGTAACAGAGTGTGTGACCCCACATGAATCGTAGGATGGCATGGAGACTCGGTGTCTGGTAGAGTTAACATGGTAGATGACACCAACTTGACCTGGATTTTATTGCTGTAATGTCAGATCTACTTGTGCAGGAACAGAGATAATAAATACAGACTGGCATTACCTCCGGGCACAAGGAAATCCAGATGCTCCGCTCGCTTCAAATTGGCCGGATGGGTAGACAACCATTCTGGAGTCTTCTCTTCATTTCCAAAGTCTTCGCTGATCTGGAACCTCTTCCAGACCACGCTCCCTTCACGGACGTCATAGCATGCCTGCCAGGAGGTATGAATTGGTCTCAGATCACATACAGATTTCACTTACCAAATATACCATTGTGTACAGTTTCATTAAACCCATCTTTGACTCCATTGGGGTTCATGAGCCTTCTAATTAGGTTTCGATGTTTTTACATTCTTGGAATTTGGGAGCAAAGCTTTATGACTAGGATATTTCACTTTTAAATTTTGTAATCCAATATAATCGAGAAGTTCTGAATGCAAAACCATGGCGTTATCATGTTGTTACGGATATTTCATACATCAGGTCATTTCTGAGCACCATGTATTTTACACACAAACGGGTTTCCATCAAAGGAATATTTTCCCTGTTTTACTTTTTGTTTGCTGAGATTGAAAGGTTTTGTGCCATAACACATCTGATAGACGCAAGAACAATAGCATCCTTCATACGAACTGGATGGTCTAAGTTATGTCATGGTCACCTAACGTGACCACCTAAGGAGGTGTCCTCAAATCTACATGAGAGGGATAGAACATTTCCTTTCGGCGGGACTGATTCACATATGTCATGGCTTGCAGCATTATTTTTTCCACCACACATATTTGCAGAATTTGCCTAAAATGTCAAGTGAATTAAATCTGAAAGAATGAGTCCAAGTTTAACTGTTAACTAGAAACCACTTCCAACTTTTGTAGCCGACCATATTGGCTACCTTCATGGTGGAGGTGGAGGCAATGAATTTTTACAATGAAACAATCTGTTGAAGGCTTTCTCTAACCAGCCACCAGTCTGAACCAACCTAGCCACTTTTAACTTTTTGTCACCATAACATGGAAATACATCCACTGTGTTTTCAAACTCAAACCTGTTAACGTTTCAGGCATGAAACCTAATCATGCTAATGCTGTAGATTTTGAATGAAACTGACATGTACCAAATCAATATTCAATACTCTAATCAGGAGATAATCTTTAAAGTAAGTGATCTCTGGTTACGATGATAACATGACCTACCCTGGCAGCGAGCTGCATCCCCACTTTGTCAGCCTCTTTCTCCAGTTTGCGACTGTACGGCAAGCACAACAGAATCTGCAGCGACACAATCTGAGTCAAGGTATGTCCATTTAATGTTGGAGGAACGCCTGTTGTGAATATCTTAAGATACCTGTGGTTAAACTGATGAGCATGGGTACAGTTCAATCATGATCAGAGCTAACCAACTCTGAACTCCAACCAACAATCACAGGCTCCGGCCACATCAAAGGGATGTAACTCTGAACAGTGAACTGCAGGATCTGAAAGTGGAGGGTCACCATAACTACTGTTGAAGAGGTCATTATCGACACAGGCACTAGAGTACCCTAGCCAAAATCAGAACACAGAAATGTACCCTTGGACAAGTCCATTTCACTCCATTTTTCTTTATCGAATCGGTATGAGATGCAATTGATTGTGTTATAGAAGAAACGAGCACCCACAATGACAAATATTTCAGGATGCACAGTATCACTTATAATCAGGCAAATGGGAACTATTGCATGAACAGGTTTTGGCTTTGGGTTGCGGAATATGTTTCTGATCTGGAAAATCAAACTGGAACTACAAATGACAATTCGACTACCAACTACTCACATCTAACACCCTGTTGTAGAACCACTGCGTCACCAAGGCGATGCCGTCATTAGGCATGATGGTCCAGATTGCACCCATCACGACAATGATCGCTACGTCAAACAGCTGGGCCACGCTCATATTCTCTGCCTGAAAGAACAGCAGACTCTTACCAGCCCTCACCAACATAGTCCCTGTTTATGACAGAAACATCTAAATGAAATTGGTATCTCATGAAAGAGTTAGAAGTAACCTTGAAAGAATGTGTACAATGAGTAGATGCATTATGTGACGAGTGTTGTGTTCGTTTGTTGTTGAAGGCACACTGTCACACATTTTCGACAATATTATGGCCTAAATTATATATATTGGGGCATATGTACTCACTTCAGCTTCCTATTGATGCAATAATACACTTATTAGGCCTTACAACTTGCCTGAAATCGATAACTGAAATTTCGAGGCAAACAGCTTGCAAACAGAGAACACTTGCCATATATGGAATGTAAACAATTGCTCTGTACATCAAAAACTGTTACACACAGTGTTCTTGGTGTTTGCCAAACTGGTTTCAATCACAAGTTGTGCGTAGGATATTTGTAAAGAGTGCCCCAAGGGACATTAAGTCTCATAGGGTTTGCTTGAAATAATGTTCACATGGTAGAGGGTGCAAGAGGCCTTGACAGCTGATAGTTAGCACAGAGGTGCAGATAAGCTGCGTATCTGCGTAAATTACGCAAATATTTATGTGAAAACTCAATTCTCATTAAGTCAGTTGAGTACAAGTACGCTTGAAGTTTTGTAAATACTCAATAAGTTTGACCTTACGTGCAGTCACACAAAGATGTCAAATCTTAGCTTGCGTACCCGTGCATTGATAAAATAACTGAGGTAAATTGAGAGGTTCTATTTCAACACATGAACTTGGCAACTTGCAGTCTTTCTCATCGTTTCTCATATTACAGATCCAATATAAATACCATTTATACTTTGTTATATTTTAAAAATTAATGCAAATTAGCAAAATGCCCAATTGAGTTTGAGTGAGGTGGGTACAATTTATTTGGTTACTCAAAGGAAAATTACGATACCCAATTGAGATGAACACAAGTGAGTACATAACTCAATGACCCCAAAAGTTATCTCTCGCTCTGTGGCATTAATGAGAGAAATGCATAATTTATTTTTAGAGAAGTGTGGTATGATATAGTGCCCTTAAACACAGCACTCAGCAACTCAGTCTGTAAATATTGAGTCTGAACTTGACAATCCAATGATCATCAATCTGCACAATTAGGATACAACATTGGTCAACCCAATCCACTTAGTTGCCTCTAAGACAAGCATGTCTTGCTGATGCTCAATTCTAGCCCAGGTCTTCATGGGTCTTGTGTCTGGACGTATGTTCGTACAGGATTGTCACTGTCCAAAATGTTGAGGCCAAACCAATAGAAATCTCTGTTTTGTTCAATTAGCACCATAGCTATGCAAGTCTTGCCAGGTGAGTCGAACTTACCGCGTGAGAGAGAAGGGTGTGTGCCATCTCGTGCCCAAGGACTATTGCCATTTGGTCTTCAGTCCTAGCAACCTTTGTCATTCCCATAAACACGAAAATATGTCCATGCTGAAAAGGGAATTGCCTCTCGGTACTATTTTTTTTATATTGAGTATATTGTTCATGGCAAAGTGGGATACTTAATTATCTGTGAAGAGCTATGAATCACATATTTATGAATATTTAAAGCATAATTTGTAGTTGTTGACATTCCCCAAACCTCCCATATTAGTACTCCCAAACATGTCTACAAGGTACTTCAAAACCTCTCTTCTAGGTACTCCCAAACATGTCCACAAGGTACTTCAAAAGGTCCCCTCTAGGTACTCCCAAACATGTCTCACGGGTACTTCAAAACCTCCCTCTGGGTACTCCCTTAAACATGTCTCACGGGAACTTCAAAACCTCCCCTCTTGGTACTCCCAAACATGTCTACGGGATACTTCAAAACCTCTCTTCTAGGTACTCCCAAATATGTCCACAAGGTACTTCAAAAGGTCCCCTCTAGGTACTCCCAAACATGTCTATGGGGAACTTCAAAACCTCCCCTCTGGGTACTCCCAAACATGTCTACGGGGTACTTCAAAACCTCCCCTCTGGGTACTCCCAAACATGTCTACGGGATACTTCAAAACCTCTCTTCTAGGTACTCCCAAACATGTCCACAAGGTACTTCAAAAGGTCCCCTCTAGGTACTCCCAAACATGTCTATGGGGAACTTCAAAACCTCCCCTCTGGGTACTCCCAAACATGTCTACGGGGAACTTCAAAACCTCCCCTCTGGGTACTCCCAAACATGTCCACAAGGTACTTCAAAACCTCCCCTCTTGGTACTCCCAAACATGTCCACAAGGTACTTCAAAATCTCCCCTCTTGGTACTCCCAAACATGTCTACGGGGTACTTCAAAACCTCCGCTCTTGGTACTCCCAAACATGTCTACGGGGTACTTCAAAACCTCCCCTCTTGATACTCCCAAACATGTCTACGGGGTACTTCAAAACCTCCCCTCTTGGTACTCCCAAACGTTGTCTACAGGGTACTTCAAAACCTCCCCTCTTGGTACTCCAAAACATGTCTACGGGGTACTTCAAAACTTCCCCTCTTGATACTCCCAAACATGTCTACAGGGTACTTCAAAACTTCCCCTCTTGATAGTCCCAAACGTTGTCTACAGGGTACTTCAAAACCTCCCCTCTTGGTACTCCCAAACATGTTTATGGGGTACTTCAAAACCTCCCCTCTTGGTACTCCCAAACATGTCTACGGGGTACTTCAAAACCTCCCCTCTTGGTACTCCCAAACATGTCTACGGAGTACTTCAAAACCTCCCCTCTTGGTACTCCCAAACATGTCTACGGGGTACTTCAAAACCTCCCCTCTTGATACTCCCAAACATGTCTATGGGGTACTTCAAAACCTCCCCTCTTGGTACTCCCAAACATGTCTACGGGGTACTTCAAAACCTCCCCTCTGGGTACTCCCAAACATGTCTACAGGGTACTTCAAAACTCACCGGTACAACGAAGGCATTGACATCTGGAGAATCAACAACACTAATCCGCCACTTCTCAACATCCATCTGCATCAGATCAGGGTTACTCTCCACTAGTCTTGTAGCAATCTTGAGGATCTTCTGGAAAGCTGGGTGTTCAACCGAAATCAGCTGCTCTTCGTACCGATCCAGCTCCTGGCAAAGATGGCTGTATTACAAACTGTCTGGACCAGACATATTCATAGGCACTGCTCTCCTTCCTTAAAGCTTACATAGCCCTGTGTGAGGTAATCCTATAGATTACATCCAAACCCTTTACACTTGCTGATGGGGTGAACGTCTGTGGTCATATGCACAAGACGTCTGACTTCGGATCAGAAGGTCTGTGGTTCAAATCCCATCACAGAACTCAGAAATTTCAATTCACAATCACCAAACAGAGAGTATTGAAGATGCTCAGAAACGTACAGTTAAACACTGTTGTATTGAAGGTGAAGTGATCTTTTAAATACTTCAAGTTATCTGAGGTTCGTAAAAACTGCAAAACGATGACTAAATATAGAATATGCAAGGACCAAGTATTACCTTGAAGACAACCATCAAAATTTGATGTAACATTTTTTTTATAATGTATTTGTTCCAGGTTTTAAAAATATTTCTTCTCTTTTTCTTCAGGCAAGACATTTTCTGATACTGTTTCAAGGTGCCTCAGCATTAAGACAGTCATACATCTATGTTAAGGCATGGGAGTTACGGTAACCTAAGATCACTTTGAACGATGGCACCATGGTGACTAGTCCACTTTAATCTCTGCAAACTCTTGTCCCCAGCCTTCCATGAATATTCATTTTGGGGCACATGGTGTCATCTCTTCTTTGTGTGAATGGAGATTGTCACTAATTTTGAGAGATGAAACAATTGCGGTTCTTATTTCTGCTCAGTTTTCTTTCAGCTGCTGACACTATTGTAATGTTGTTTCTCAATCTATCTTTCATCATCATTCTCTTACTACTTGTCAGAGAACATAGAAATCTCGCAAGTATACAAATTGACAGATATCTACTTGCCATGTGTGAACAGCATACCTGCCTGAAAACATTCCTGTAGCTTTCTACATAATGAGGGGCAGTGGGGTAGCCTAGTTGTTAAAGCGTTCAATCGTCACGCCAAAGGCCCGAATTCGATTCCTCACATGGGCACAATGTGTGAAGCCCATTTCTGATGCCCCCGCTGTGATATGGCTGGAATATTGCTAAAAAGTGGCATAAAACCCAACTCACTCACTCACTCCATCATAATGACAGATTTAGAAACAGAGACAGGGTTGTTTTAAACACTTGATTGTGACAAAATTGTTAACATTCTTGATAGCACTTACATTAATATTTTGGTCTAGCTATTTCTTATTGGTGCTGCCACCTATCCAACCCACTTCTTTTTTACAACTAAGGCTGTATGTTTGAATATAGTTTTCTTATTTATCATTATCAAGAGCTTTCATTTAATTATTTCACAGTCAAATTCGGTGAGAACCAATTTCATTAAAACAAATTCTTTTCAATTATATAATCCTCTTGTAACATAATCGCAACAATTTCTACTTACCACCTGTGCTCTTGCCTTGGAGATCTTCATCATCTGATCGTGTGTGAACATCATGAATCTCTTCCTGTTGGTGATGGGTGTGGCAACCATGTGTGACTGGTAGTAGTACCACGCCCAGCTAACCCCTGCCCCACCCATGACGGCAAACACCGGCCAACTCTGCTTCACACGTGTCCATATACTGCGCTTCTCCTCACTTGGTAATCTCTGCCACCATTTACGGACACCCCTGGGAAAATATTTTGCACACAGTAAAATCTGCATTATGCAAATTTAACAGTTTCTAGTAAATTGTTCATTTAATTTTACTTAAATTAATTAATCTAAATCTGTACCACAGGGGTGGAAATAACCCATTGCCTGACGTCGGAGTCCAGTGTTTTTTTCTGTCGGGAAAGCAAATTTGTATATTACACTGCACCGGTGTCCAGTTGACTTTCCAATGTTTTTTTTGTTTTTTTTTTGTTTTGTTTTTTTATTCCATTTCAAGTCTCACATAAAATACATATGGCAAAGAGGACAACATCCAAATATATATGAATATAGCTTCAGTGATGTTTTGCAAGGTTTTATATGACATAAAAGACAGTATTGCAAACATATACACACACGCGCACACATACATATATACATATACATACATATGCACATACATACATATAAATATAACATCATGAGATTACAACAATTATATAGATACATAAGATGTCATTAAAGTTTCTGTGGAGGGAATATGAATTTGGAGGGGTAAGGTTGAATAGTATGGTTGTAGTGAGTAGACTTTCCAATGTTAATTTTGTTGTTTATTTAAAAAATCAGCAGGAAAATGGTCAGTATAGTGGAAAAATTATCAGGGCAAGTGACATTACATGTGCCACTGTACTGGAGTACACTATCGATCTTAAAGTTATTTCCACCCCTGTACCATTACAGAAAAATTGGAGACAGCCCATACACTTAGTCCTTTAGGGACTTCACTTTGTCATAGTAAGAGATTAACACTGGTATCTTAGACGCAGACCTATCATAAATTATTATATCTGACTTGCACAATTAAAAAAATCTTCAAAACAAAACAGCAGGGTTGATGCTCATAAATTCCTAATTCCACTTAACAAAGACTCAAAATTAATCCAAACATATTTATTTATTGGAAAGAGGTTACTGATATGTCAGAGTAGCAATAATTAGTGGGGTCATCCAAAAGATGACATCCTTGCCTTGTCATCTTGTTGAGGGGGTTAATAACCTCTTTGGTCATGCAGACTACCCATGAAGATCTGGGTTAGAATTTGTCTTCAGTAACCCATGCTTATCGTAAGAGGCGACTAACAGGATCAGGTTGACAGGGTCGCTGACTTGATTGACACATGTCATCGTTCCCCCATTTGCGTAGAACTATGCTCATGATGTTGATCACTGGATTGCCTGGTCCAGACTCAATTATTTACAGACAGCAGCCATATAGATGGAATATTGCTGAGTGCAGCGTTAAACAACTACACCAGCGACACTAACTTACCTTCCTGTGAGTGCTGCCCCAATCTTCACGATCGGCTTCACCATTATCAGGAATATTGGCGGAATCGGTCTTCTTGGAGAAGTATGGAACTGACGGATGTCGGACAAGACAACCTGTGACCTCACGCCCACCTTCAGTCGCAGGTGCCGTGCTCCTCGCGGCAAAACCGTTATCCCCGACCTGAACATGGCAACTGATGGGAGATCTCTAAAGTTAAGACAGAACTTTTAGATCTATCGGACGTTCAGCTGTTCGGCGTATAGGTTCCGGGTATTGCAAACTCCAGTGCAATAATTCAGTAGATTTCGTCAGACAGCGATGAAAACATTTGACACAACATATGAATAAAACTTGTACATCATAAATCAAACTTCATGCCAACAATGAATAATTAACTCAAATCGCTTGCGGCAGTGACAACCGTTCATTGCGAAACATCCAATCGTCCCGTCACTACACGCATGGCAAACTGAGAGTGAATATGGTCTAAGGGAGACCACTCCAAATTGATCGTAACCGTAAAATTCACATGTTCGCCCGCTAAGGATCAGGCTAAAAACGGAACGACGTCAAAACGGCTCCAAAATGGATTGGCAAAAACGATATTATTTTTTTGCATATTTATAATCCGCACATATCCACGCTCGTAAGCATGCTCTTGGCGCTAACACATTATTACCCCGGATAACCCAAGCTGTCTGTTAGGCGCTAGAACGTTATAGTCACATGATTTATCCCAGCGGGTACCCATTTTTTGAACACTGAACAGAGGCAATTTTTTAACAAACTCATTTGCCTAAGGTGAGACCCCATGTATCACATGTGCTTTGTTGTGGGACAGGACCGAAGTCCTAGAAACTCTCAGGAGTCATGCTGCCAAACACGGTCACCCATCCAAGGGATCTCCGCGCCGAACGTTGCTTAACTTCAGCTGATTTGTGACATGGGTTCTATGCACAGGTCTACACACCACCACAATTTATATATCGGTATGTATACGAATTTATTTTACCATTACTTGTACGTTTATATCTGACATTATATTCATTTTATTTTTCATAGGGAATTATTGTCGATTCGTAAATTTTATTTTAGCGTTTTATAGACTTTCAGTAAACTTCATATTTTAAAAAAGCGTTTATGTTTGAACGGCTTTTACAAAAAAATATGTTTAAATATCAAATCATTATTCGGACCCGTGAAATTCACACGAATTCAACGATTTCAACGAATATACTTGAAAGGTAACCTGGTTTACATGCTCAACCTCTTCACCGTGCAAAGGTAACATTTGTTTTTATAGGGCGCGTGGTGTTTGCAGTTGTGTGTGACGTATCAGCGGTGTGACGTATCAGCGGTGAGTCTGGAGCAGACAATCCAGTGATCCATTTTGTGAGTTACGATCAACGCCGTCGGGGTACAAATACATGCAATATCAATAGAGTCACAGAATATGACAATCGGATCCGTTTACTGGGCCTAGATACCAGATTAGGTCCCAGGGGGTAGCCTAGTGGTTAAAGCGTTCGATCGTCATGTTGAAGATCCGGGTTCGATTCCCCACATGGGCAAAATGTGTGAAACCCATGTGTGGTGTCCCCCGCCGTGATATTGCTGAATATTGCTGAAAGCGGCGTAAAACTAAACTCACTCAAGGAGATTTATTCTAACCCAGAATCACGACGTAATTAGTCTTCAGATTAGAATGAGGCGCTACCCATCCGCCCCCTGCAGATTCGAGGTTGACTAAATAATCTGATTAACACATCCCCTAAGTTATATACCTGAACAGATTTCAGACATATCAATGCACATGTTTTTTTAAACTATAAACGAAATATACTTTAGAAGACGTGGATCAATTTTGACCATAAATTATTGAGAACGTTGTGCCCTTAAACGCACAATGGTCTTAAGTGCACAGAAATCATGAATATTCATGAGTGGGGGGAGCTTATGTCACTACGTCACATACACAGCACAGTATCTTCCGCGGAACTAGTAGAGGGAGTTGACCTATGCTGCTTCGTCTGTTATTGCCTTATACAATGTGACAGCTACAATATGCATATGATGTATATGTAAACATGAAGTATACGTGCTGTTTATTCAATATAATGTGCTGTATTGAAGTTTTGCGACGCAACTTCCCACGGTGAAGGAGTTCAAGCGAGAAAGCCTCCTCGAGAACAACCACGGTACCTAGCGTTGCGATGGAAACATTCACATGTCAATATTGTCATTGCTCAGTCCTGACTTATCATAACTCTCCAACCAAACAGAATAACATCTCTTGTCAACCAACTAAATACTTATACAATACATATGTACATGTACGTACATATTGCCAGATCTAATTAAACTCCACGTATTTCAATAGCGTCAGCTCTAATAGGGCGTCTTATGAAGGAAGGAAATGTTACCCAGGCAGGCCAAAGTACCCAAAGCTACCTTTCCATGGCTATCAGGGCACTACAAACTTTGAAACAAATATTTGAGATTTATATCCCAGGGTAACCTAGCATGGCAACAAATATTTCTGGAATTTGGGTGGTGTATCTGGAGTACCTGAGGAATCCCTCCAAATGGTAAAATTACTAGTTTCTGGTGTAAAGGGGCAGATAAATATATTAAGGATAAAAAACAACAACACCATGTCAACACCACCGCCAGTTTAAATGTCTGGCAAAGTATATCCCTCCAAAGATACCATACTGCCAGGGTGTTTTGGTACTTTGGCAAGTCTTACTGAGTTTCCTTACTGGCAGTTAAAATCACTCTCAATTATTTTCAACTTAACTTCCCTCTAAAGTAATTAATATAAAATCATTTTCATGGCATTTTCAACACCCCTTTCAACCTGATCCCTTTGACCATGTACAACCCCCTCTAGACTGAAAATTTCATTCACTCTCTCTCCCATTTCAGCCTAGCTGGGCCACTTCCTCGGCGTCAAGGCGGACAGTCAGTGTGCACCACAGAGGTTCTGCCAGCTGCCCAGGAGAGCTTCATCCAGCCCCAAGCACCCCAGGGGACTGGTAGGAAATGAAATGCATGTTGTTTTTGCTGTACCTTTTTTAAAAAGGTCCATTGTGCATTTAAGGTTTTCTGTGCACTTAAGGTTTCCTATAGGAGTCCTTAAGTGCACAGAAAACCTTAAATGCACAATGATGTCTTGGCCCCTCCCTGCACCCTCTTGGCTGTTTTTGGCTGGTGCAGAGGCCCCACCTGATCCCTTTGACCATGTACAACCCCTCTAGACTGAAAATTTCATTCAATCTCTCTCCCATTTCAGCCTAGCTGGGCCACTTCCTCGGCACGTCAAGGCGGACAGTCAGTGTGCACCACAGAGGTTCTGCCAGCTGCCCAGGAGAGCTTCATCCAGCCCCAAGCACCCCAGGGGACTGGTAGGAAATGAAATGCATGTTGTTTTTGCTGTGCCTTTTTAAAAGGGTCCATTGTGCATTTAAGGTTTTCTGTGCACTTAAGGTTTCCTATAGCAGTCCTTAAGTGCACAGAAAACCTTAAATGCACAATGATGTCTTGGCCCCTCCCTGCACCCTCTTGGCTGTTTTTGGCTGGTGCAGAGGCCCCACCTGATCCCTTTGACCATGTACAACCCCCTCTAGACTGAAAATTTCATTCAATCTCTCTCCCATTTCAGCCTAGCTGGGCCACTTCCTCGGCACGTCAAGGCGGACAGTCAGTGTGCACCACAGAGGTTCTGCCAGCTGCCCAGGAGAGCTTCATCCAGCTCCAAGCACCCCAGGGGACTGGTAAGAAATGAAATGCATGTTGTTTTTGCTGTGCCTTTTTTAAAAAGGTCCATTGTGCATTTAAGGTTTTCTGTGCACTTAAGGTTTCCTATAGCAGTCCTTAAGTGCACAGAAAACCTTAAATGCACAATGATGTCTTGGCCCCTCCCTGCACCCTCTTGGCTGTTTTTGGCTGGTGCAGAGGCCCCACCTGATCCCTTTGACCATGTACAACCCCCTCTAGACTGAAAATTTCATTCAATCTCTCTCCCATTTCAGCCTAGCTGGGCCACTTCCTCGGCCCGTCAAGGCGGACAGTCAGTGTGCACCACAGAGGTTCTGCCAGCTGCCCAGGAGAGCTTCATCCAGCCCCAAGCACCCCAGGGGACTGGTAAGAAATGAAATGCATGTTGTTTTGCTGTGCCTTTTTAAAAGGTCCATTGTGCATTTAAGGTTTTCTGTGCACTTAAGGTTTCCTATAGCAGTCCTTAAGTGCACAGAAAACCTTAAATGCACAATGATGTCTTGGCCCCTCCCTGCACCCTCTTGGCTGTTTTTGGCTGGTGCAGAGGCCCCACCTGATCCCTTTGACCATGTACAACCCCCTCTAGACTGAAAATTTCATTCAATCTCTCTCCCATTTCAGCCTAGCTGGGCCACTTCCTCGGCCCGTCAAGGCGGACAGTCAGTGTGCACCACAGAGGTTCTGCCAGCTGCCCAGGAGAGCTTCATCCAGCCCCAAGCACCCCAGGGGACTGGTAGGAAATGAAATGCATGTTGTTTTTGCTGTACCTTTTTTAAAAGGGTCCATTGTGCATTTAAGGTTTTCTGTGCACTTAAGGTTTTCTATAGCAGTCCTTAAGTGCACAGAAAACCTTAAATGCACAATGATGTCTTGGCCCCTCCCTGGACCCTCTTGGCTGTTTTTGGCTGGTGCAGAGGCCCCACCTGATCCCTTTGACCATGTACAACCCCCTCTAGACTGAAAAATTCATTCACTCACTCTCCCATTTCAGCCTAGCTTGGCCGCTTCCTCGGCCCGTCAAGGCGGACAGTCAGTGTGCACCACAGAGGTTCTGCCAGCTGCCCAGGAGAGCTTCATCCAGCCCCAAGCACCCCAGGGGACTGGTAGGAAATGAAATGCATGTTGTTTTTGCTGTACCTTTTTTAAAAAGGTCCATTGTGCATTTAAGGTTTTCTGTGCACTTAAGGTTTCCTATAGCAGTCCTTAAGTGCACAGAAAACTTAAATGCACACAATGATGTCTTGGCCCCTCCCTGCACCCTCTTGGCTGTTTTGGCTGGTGCAGAGGCCCCACCTGATCCCTTTGACCATGTACAACCCCTCTAGACTGAAAATTTCATTCACTCACTCTCCCATTTCAGCCTAGCTGGGCCACTTCCTCGGCCCGTCAAGGCGGACAGTCAGTGTGCACCACAGAGGTTCTGCCAGCTGCCCAGGAGAGCTTCATCCAGCCCCAAGCACCCCAGGGGACTGGTAGGAAATGAAATGCATGTTGTTTTTTGCTGTACCTTTTTAAAAAGGTCCATTGTGCATTTAAGGTTTCTGTGCACTTAAGGTTTTCTATAGCAGTCCTTAAGTGCACAGAAAACTAAATGCACAATGATGTCTTGGCCCCTCCCTGGACCCTCTTGGCTGTTTTGGCTGGTGCAGAGGCCCCACCTGATCCCTTTGACCATGTACAACCCCTCTAGACTGA